CCTGGAGTTCTCAGCTTAAACACACTGAGAAGCCTTCCCGGGCCACTCCCTTCCGTCCAAGCACAGCTCCCTGTGGTCCCCTCTCTTTGTGTCATGGCACTTCTCACGGTACACGCTTACATGTGAGGGGAGGGACAGTGTTGTTCGTCCCTCTCTGTGTGCCCGGAGCCTGGCACGTGGTAAGCCTGGAGTCAGTATTTCTGGACGAGCTCAGTCGAGGGATCACTGTTGCCGCCATCCTGTGTGTGCAGGCTCAGAGCAGCCAGGCCACTTGCCCAGGGTCACGCATGGCTGTGCTGGGAATCAAACCAAGTGGTCCTGGCTTCAGGGCTCGCTCTCTGTGCATGGCCTCCCAGCAATGGCGCTGTTTACGCAATGTTCTCAACATCATGGTTCCTTAGTGCTGCATGTTTTCAGAGCAGAAATAGAATCATGGTGTCCTGTGAAACCCCAAAGAGAAGTTCCAGGCGGTGCCCGGGTGACTGTGGAAGTTGCATCAGGAAGCCTCGTGCTGGGGGATTTCCCCTTCCCCAGACAGAGCCGACATAAACTACACAGCTCAGGACTTGCCTTGTGTGTTCATGGCAAAGGGTGGGGGAGCTGGGGGTGGGCCGGGTGCTGAGGAGCATTGGGAGCTGGGGACAGCCCGGCTTGGGTTTAGACGGTGGCTTCACCTACAGCAAGTGTGTGGTGGGGGAGGGAGGGAGCTCTGACAAGGGGAGGTGGGGTGTCCTGACAGGTGGGAGGATAAAGCAATGGAAAACCCCAGTGCCAGCGGCTTCCCGAGGCCCCTGCTCCTGGGCCTGAGCTCCGAACGTGGGGCCTGTAGCGGCCAGAGGGATCCAGGCCCCAGGAGCCATCCAGTCCATCCACACATCCTTACAAAGCTCCTACTATGCACCAGCATTCTTTTCAGTGGAGAGTATAGCAGTAAGCAGGGCAGATGAGAGCTCTGCCTTGTGGAACACCTTCGAGGGGAGGAAAGAAAACATGGCGGAGGGATACGAATTTCAGATGATGAGAGTGCCAAAGACACGCTTCAGCTGAAGTGGGCAGAAAAGGCCTGAGAGCCGCAGGTCGCCAAAGCCAGCATGCGAAGGGAGGGTTGCCGGCAGAAGCCTCAGTAGGTGCAGAGGCGCCAAGGTGGGAACGGGCTGGCCAGTCGTGTGCCGAGCCGGCGATCGTCGCACCTCTTCTCAAGTCTGTGCCCCGCGACCTGAGCGTTAATAACTTGGGATCAGCCATGCTGAGAGCATATCTGCACGGTGGAAACTGGCAACAGTGAAAGTCAGGATCACCTCCCCCCCCCCCGGGTTAAACATTTACCGGCATGCCCCAATGGGCATATCTGAGCACCAGGGACCAGGCTATGACACAGGCAAGGGGCTGGAGGCCACCGCGGGGGCAGGCCTTGTTCTGTTGCAGCGGGAAGTGTCCGAAGGGTTTAGAGCAGAGGTAACATGATTTGATTTTCAGTTTGCCAGATGAAGTTTCTACGAAACAGACTCAGGTCCAGGGAACAAGTAAGTGTAGGGAAGAGGAGGTGGATGGATGATCAGAATTGGGGTCCAGGCAATACCTGAATCCAGGAACTCAGGAGAACGCCACTGATGGCGGCATCAGCTTAAGACCAGAGTGAGGCCAGTTGTGAGAGGTGTGTCTGCTGAGATGTCCGACCTGGGTCTGGGGGGAGGGGACTGAACCTACAGGTGGGCCCCACCTGAGCAGAGAAGAGCTGCAGGAGCCTCTGCTCCCTGCCATGGGATGGCCACACCCGTCTGCTTCGTTCCCAAATGGAGGGCAGCTGCAAGCTCCAGGAGCTGCTGCATCTCTACAGACGCACCCGCGGTTTACATGGGGTGCTGCTCAGGGATAAGCGGCTCAGAGCGGCTGTAAGCCTCCACGCCAGAATGGCTGCCTTCTCGCCGCTGGTGAGTTCCGTGTGGCATCTGAGCAGCATCGTCACCCGAGCCACACACTGTGATGAGAGCAGGTGCTTCTCCACCTCGCTACACACCAGAACAACCGGGGAGCTTTTCCCACCCCAGACCAGTTAAACCCAGATGTTCCTCTGGGAGTGGGGCCATCCTCAGCATTTTTGAAAGCTCTCCAGGTGAGTTCAGGGTGTGGCAGAACTTGATTAGAAGAAATTTCTGTAGAGTAGGAGGCCAAGTATTTTTCCACATACTGCCTCGGGGGTGGCCTCGAGGACTTGTGCTGGCAATTCCAGGCACGATGACAACGCCTGTGCCACTCGTTTGGATGCTAAGTGAATCCCTGAAGCCCTCCTCCTTTGCCGAGTTGGCCCCTGCCGGCAGTGAGAGGCTGACTGTTGCATGAGTCGGCCTGATCACTTGTCTGTCTGCATTTACTGTGGGCTGAATTAATCCAGCAGCTGCCACATTCCCCAAGGATGTTAAAGTGCTTGAGCCGCCCATCTGGAAGGGCAGCCCCCTCTGCAGATGGGAGACGATGACCATGTGGCAGTTCCAGCCACGCTCCCCAGTAGCTGAGAGATGCCAGCAGCCGATGCCAGCAGCGTCAGGTGGGCAGGCATGATCTGCCCAGACCCATGTCCGGTCAAGCAGAGGTGGCCGGGCATTCCACGGAGCAGTGAGGAAAGGGAAATGCTTCTCCTGTATTTTTAGGAGAAGGCAGGGAAGACAGATGCCACAGGGAAATGAGGTTAATGCTGGTACTTGGTGCTTTTCTGCTCAAAGAATACAGAACGTGTCATGGTGAAGCAAACCAGGGCCGTGCTGTCCTGACAGCCGCCGGGGACGAGCTGCAGAGAGAACACAGGCTTCTGACACCGCAATTGTGCCTCAACACAGAGTCGCAGTGTGGCTGGTGGTAGCTGTGCTGTCTGTCCTGAGCCCTGAGCATGAGGAGCAGCGTGGGATATCTGGGGGCCAGCGCTCGGAGGAGAGGGTCTCACAAGGCCCACAGCCCGAGGTGGGAAGGGCGGTGCTGGAGGCCCCTTGTGAGGACGGGGAGGTGAGCAGCAGGATAGCCAGGAGCGGCAAGACAGGCACCCGACAGCATGGCTTGTATTCTGAGCCCACTGGTGGCCCGCTGGAGACCTGACGGCTGGTGGGGATGTGCTCTTATCTACACTTTGCCAACCTGCTCTGTGATGGGCAGTTAACTGCTCTGATCTTCACTCTCAGCTCTAACGAAGATGAAACATGCAACGATTATGTGGGTTAGAAATCTTGGATGTGGATTTAACAGGACTGTCACATACCAAATGCTCAGGGAGTAGCAGCTGTGTCGTCGTCCTCCTCCTCATATTGGCAGAGGGTGGATGGGTGTGGCTCACAGCAGTCACTCCTTGCCTGAAGGGGAGCGGAGCTCCCCAGGGTCTTATGCTAAGAATACAAGTCTTGACAATTGTATATTTAAGAATCCCCGTGCCCTCGCATTAGCCCCGCCACTGCTGGGCTGCTGGCTAGCATAGAAGCTGGGCTGCGGCACAGCGCGATGGCCACTCCTGTCTGCGTCCCAGAGCGGCATGCCCCATGGAAGGCTTTCCTGGGACCGAGCACCCAGCACGCTCTGCTTCCAGCTCCTGAGGCTTCTTCCACACAGATCTTGGGTGTGAATTATAGCTGTTTATGTTAAAATCTTACAACCTGCATCATTCATTCATTCAAACAGCATTTGCAGAGTGCCGACCATGAGTTCAAAATGGTACTGGCCACTAAAGCCGCAGTGAGGGAGCAGTCTCGTCATGTTCTCAGGAAGGTTATAGCCCCTGGTGGCGGTAGGCAGAAAGCAGCTGTCAGCCCTGCAGCAGCAGAGGGATTAAAGAGGGCTACGGAAGCCCAGAGGAGAGAGGAGACTTCACAGAACCTTCCGGAAGTTGTAAAATCTCTCTTAGGGGCCGGCCCAGTGGTGTAGTGGCTGAGTTCATGTGCTCCCCTTCAGCGGCCCGGGATTCGCAGGTTCTGATCTCGGGTTGCAGACGTGGCACTGCTAGTCAAGCCATGCTGTGGCAGCATCCCACGTAAAATAGAGGAAGATTGACACAGATGTCAGCTCAGTGACAGTCTTCCTCACACACACACAAAATCTTTCTCAGAGGAGAGGAACCTTAAGGCTGGGTCTTGAAGGAAGGGGAGGAGTTTGCCAGGTGGAGAAAGAGGGGAAGAGAATAAAAGGCGCACACATAACACAATTTCCAGTAGCCTGTGGAAGAATGAGTATAGGAGTAAAATTATTGCACTTAAAGATGCAAAGAGCTGCGTGTCAGTCAGGATTCTTCTCAGGTAACAGAAAACCCAATGACCTCAACAACACAACAAAAGGTGAGGTTTTGGGGGAAAGGCTGGCTTCAGGTCCAGCTGGATTCAGGGTTCAACAACACCATTAGGACTTGGTGTCCCTCCTTCACGTGGCTCTCTTCTGTTGGGTCACCTCACCCTGAGTCTTGGCCAGATGTTGGGGCAACTGTAGCCGTACGGCCTCCGTGGCTCCAGTCTTGTGGGAAATGAAAATGTCTGCTGGCTACTCCAACCAAAACTCGGGTCAGCTCTAATTGGACCTGGTTGGCTTAGCTTGAGTCACTTGCCTGTCCCTGAGCCAATCACTGTGGCCTCGGCCACAGAGTGCCCTGATTGGCAAGGTCTGGGCCACCTAGGTGGCCTGGTTTGGCAGAAACCATCACCCATGGAGGACCTGCCAGCACTGTGCCTGGTGCTCAGCATAAATTAGCTGCTGGGACCCTCCAGCTCCCCTGGAGGGAGATGCTGTTATGGTTACTATTTGACAGGCGAAGAAATGAAGCTTCGTGGACTGGGTCCTTTGCCTGAGAGCTCCCAGCAGAGCCAGGATTTGGGCTCCATCTTGTGTGACCCTGAAGCCCAGCTCCCTCTCGCTAACACATTAGTTTGTGATTCAGTCTCTGACTCGTGGCTGATGTCGCAAAGCTCCATACTGCTTAAGCTGCAGCCTCGTGGTCTCCTGCCTTCCTAACCCAGCTGCCCTCTCGTCCGCAGGGCCCTCATCTTTGTGTCCCATGGCGCTGGGGAACACTGCGGCCGCTATGATGAGCTGGCTCAGATGCTGGTGGGGCTGGGGCTGCTGGTGTTTGCCCACGACCACGGTGAGTACCCCCAGGGCCGCTGCGGGCAGGGCCCGGGCTGCTGGCTGATGCCTGGCAATTTGGGGATCCTCCTTTCTAGTCCATTTCACCTCCATCCTTCTTCCTCCTGTTATTCTCTTCTGATTGCTGCAGTGGAACTGGGAAAAGACTTTCTCCATGGGATGTTTCTAAGTAAAAAAAAATGTGGTTATGTAAACAAAAAATATGTCTGAGCAGCAGTTTCTGTTGAGTCTGGGGTTGAATACAGGCTGATTAGAAAGCTCAACTGAAAAACCAGTTGGAATGTGTTTACAGAATAACTTGCCCCAGGCCAAGTAATCCTCTCTTCCATTTACAAAGCGCTTTCTGTACAAAATGGGCCCTGGTTTTCTCCCAGGGGACTCCAGATGGAAGCGTGTCCTCAGTGCAAGTGCGGTTGAAACCTCAGCACGACCCCGAGGGGTTTACAAAGCATTTCAGACCAGGAGAACGGAACATGCCTCAGGAGGCCATACTGGTCCCAAGAAAGCCCCGAACACACACACCTCGAATATGCACACGCACACATGTACACATATGCACACACACGTACATACACGACCACAGGCCAAGTCTTTGATTCTTTGTCATATAACAAGATCCACAATAACCATCAAAATGCAGTGGTCCTTGCCTAAGTCAGTACGAGGTTCCTTGTTTCTGGGACATTCTCCATGGCTAGGAAGGCTCCCAACTTAGACCGTTTTTTGCCTAAGAGTCTTTAGAAGGAAGAGTTCCCTGTGACCCAGCCTGGTGGGTACCCACAGCTTCAGTGCAGAAATCTAGCATCCTGGCCTGGATCCAGAAATGTTGCTTCTGTTTTATCTGATTTTAAAATAGATAATTAAGTGACGTTGCTGGAAAGAGGGAGAGGGGAGCAGTGATGGGACCAGGAGGCCTTGTAACCAGGAGGGAAAGCTGTCTGGGTACAGAGAGCTGCTGATGTGGGCATAAACAGCTTGCTGGGGCCTTTCATGCGGAAAGCCCTTTTTAAGCAGATATGTGCAAGCATCCTCGTAATTGAGAATATTGACTAAATTCTTTCTTATTATGGTTGTAATGTTCTTTAGTGCTTTGCGAATGGTCCCAGTAATATTTGTGAGACTGAGAAATAACATTCGAGGATTGTCCTGATTTTCCCTGTGGGGGCTGTGTCATCATTGAGTTGGGCACTTTTTGCTTTGCAGGCCCAGGATAGGAATTATTTTTCTCCTATTGCATTCGTCTCCATTAAAATTCATTGCAATCCTCGTCATTATCTTCAAACTGAACGAATAGGGACATCCTGAAAAAAGTCTCTGGTTTGAATCTTGGCGTCGATTCCCTTCTTATCAGATGTCCTTGGCCAAATCTGTGGGCGCAGGTGACTGTTGTGCCTTATTCATTTTGTCTGACTGTGGAGATTTGAAAAACAATTTTAAAAGGCTTCTTTTCTAGAGTAAAGGGAGAAAAGCAGCAGCCCCCTTTGATGTTTCCGGAATCGCGCTAAAGCTGAGGCACAGCCCCGCGACGTTCTCAGTGTAACTTGAAGCCCGTTGTCCACGTTCACCTGCTTTAAGTTACTTTGTCTGTGGGTTTCTTCCAGCGACTCACTGGAAATCTCTCTGGCAAGTGTCTGAGGGGCATGTTTCATTCCCACAATGAACCCAGGTGAACGTGTGTGACTTTTGTTGTCCACAGATGGAGCCGACCGCACCTTACTTAGTAGGACACAGCGGGTGAGTGGCTGTCCCCGCGGGGTCTGGTGCGGGCTGCAGAAGCGGTCACGGGGCGATCTGTGCTTCGCTTCCTTCTTGCTGAAAAACGCGTGAGTGAGAGGAGGGATCTGAACCCGGCCTGCTGGTTCTACGGCCGGCCCTCCTTTATTGCCTGCCACTCTGTTCACACCAGGCAAGAATACACACAGAGACGTATGCAGACGTCATCCTTTCCAACATGGCTTCAAATTTAAATAAAGCATATACAGGAGACTGTCAGGGCGTTTGTCGTGCCACCTGGAGGTACATGAAGGATTAAAAGCACAGGGCTAAAAAACCTGCTCAAGGGCCCATGGCCTCAGTGCACTCCTGGCCCAAATCTTCCATGTCGTAGTCACGTTGTCATCCTGCGCTCTTGTGTGTTGTCAGAGGCCTGCTGCTGGGACCTTCGGCTCCAACAGCAAAAGCGCTCAGACTCAAACACACCAGGGTCCAAGGCCCCAGGGGACTGCGCTTCCCAGCTGTGTGGTCTCGGGGACCTGGTGTAACGGTTCACTCCAAGCCCTAGTCCTCTCGTCTGCACATGGGCTGTCGTCTCCAAAGGCTGGGCTGCAGTGAGCATTGTGGGGAGATGGGGCACATGGAGGGCCCAACAGAGTGGGGGCCTTCTTTACCTTCAGTTGGCCCCTCCCAGACCCCCTCCCGCCACAGTGCAGACCAGCTGGCGTGCTGGTACCTGATCCAGGGACCCCAAGGCTCTGAGTAGGAGTAGGCCGGGAGTCAGGGGCTCTGGGCTCTCAAGTGGGTGTTGCTGCCCAGGCGGGTCGTTGGTCAGGCCTGGAGGGCTGCTGCGAGGACAGAATGAAGCCATAGATGCGAAAGTGCTTTAACAAAGGACCAGGCCTCCCGACCTGGTTTCATGAATACGGTTGATAGAAACACGGCTTTCTACAAATCTGCTGCTAACTTGATTTGAAGTTGATCTCGTTGCTCAGCTGTCTTACAGTGTTGCATTGTTTACACAGGAATCTCCACGTGCAGTGGTGGCAGCCTGCCTGTGTCTCTCAGCACACCTGGGGACTGTGCACAGGGCAGTTCAGTATTTCATTTAACTTTGTTTTCTATTTTAACCTTAGAATTTTACAGGATGACCTCATGGGTATGAACAGCTTGCCAGCAAGGAGAATTATGATTCCTGCCGTTTGTTGAGCGCTGACTGCATTCCAGGCCCTGCAGTAGGCACTTTCTGTGCACCATCTCTAATTCCTCATAACAGTTAACGTTACCTCCCCATTTTAGAGGGAAGGATTCCGAGGGTGTACAGTCAAGGGAGTCCGTTCTCATTGCACCAAAGCGCACGTGCCAGGCGGGGGCCGTTGGACTGCACGCAGAGGCAGGAAGGAGATGCAGGAAGCAGCGCAGACTACGGGGCTGGGCTCCTATTAGGAAAGCAGACCTTTCTTGGAGCTCCCTGGCAGATGCCGGCTGCGTCCCGTTGGCCAGCACTGCATCACGTGGCTCCCTCAGCTGCAAGGGAGGCAGGGAAGATGATTTGCTGACAGCATATTTTCTGATCCCAACAAAACAGGGTTCTGTGCGTAAGAAAGAAGCAGAGGATGGACGGTGCTAGTGGCCATCTCATCCTCTGCCGCACCGTACTTCCAGGGTTATTATTTGAGAGAGCATTTCGCAACCGTTTCTACTGTATAGAGTCTCTGGGTATAACCGTGTCGCCTTTCTGTCCCGCCATCCCTATATTCTTTCATAATTTTTGATGTGAAGGCTATGACTGGCTTCATGAGTAAGTAGTGGTTAAAGTTCCTGATTGTCTGCCAGCCCTGCGTTAGGTGTCTTATGGGGAGAAACGCGGACACAGCCACTGTCATCCTAGTGGCACAGTAACCTCTCTCCCCCAGAAAAGTTAAGCAGCCCCTCCTTGTGCTCAGCCTCACGATGGTGTTTATTCTCCTGTTGGCAGCTGTTCCTCTGTGATGGAGGCAGTCAGCTCCTGGCAAACAGAGACTGTGTCTTATTGTGTCCTGGGGTAGCTCTTCCCTCTGCCCCCACAACCTTCTCATCTGCTGTGCAGAGCCCAGGACTGAGCAGAGAGTAGCGGCGTCACTAGTGTTTGTTGAATGAATGAAGGAGTTGTGATCCAGAATAGATCAGACCAGAAATGTCTTAAATATCCACAGCAGAGCAGCCACATGAACGTATCCACGCTGGCAGGGCGCTGCTGAATCTCCTCCTCATGGAGAGACCCAGCACAGTGGCCGTGAACTCTGAGGCTGGTAGCCAAGGTCGCGGCTGGGGCAGCTGTCAGGTGCACCTTGAACGTGATGTGGATTTAGGCTGAAGCAGAGGAACCACAAGGCTTATGACTCAGGTGTGCCAAGGTGTGCTCAGACATACACAGGCTTCCCCAATGTCTGGAGGGCTGGCAAGGTGGCTGGGTCTTGTCGGGTGAGTAGGAGCTTGCCAGGAGAAGAAAGGGTGTAGAGAGAGGCACTGATCATTGAGAGCTGAGGTTCTCACCTTGGCTGCCCATTGAAATTACTGAGGAGCCTTGAAAAGTACTGATGCCTGGGTCCTCTCTCATAGAGGCTCTGGTTCTTTGGTCCTGGGTGTGGCCGGGGCATTGAGACTTCTAAAATCACCCTGAGTGGTTCTAATGTGTGGCCAGGGGTGAGAAACACCGTTCCAGACAGAGGAGACCTTACAGGCAAAAAACACACACACGATGTCACACGCTCATGTCCTGTTCAGGTAGAAATCCTGGCCCAAGGATTTAGCTGGGCCCTGGAGCTTAGCGGCAGGAATAGAAGGAGAGTGAGCCTCTGGCTTGCAAGGCTCGGGACCCTGTAATGAGTCCCTGCGGACACTTGGAGCTCGTGGAAGACTTTGAGCAGGGAGTGGCAGGATGGCAGTTGGAAGCAGAGAGGGTCACCAGGAGCTGTCAGAAGACAGGGTCCACGGCAGGGGCAGGGAGGGGAGGTGCGGGCCGGCAGAAGTGGAGGAGCTGCCGGGACGTCCGAGCAGGTGGGGACACCAGAGGACGGACTTTCTGTGCTGTTCTGAATATAGCACAGAGAAAACCGGGCTCCTGCTCGAGGGTCCCTCGGTCACCGGCTGCTGGCAGTGACTCACTGGAAACCCCTCGGCCTTCTCCGCAGGCAGAAGCAGTGGTGTGGCCGTGGGGGTGGGGTGGGAGGCAGGGGGTGGGCTGGAGGTGCTGGAGGCGGTGGCTGTGGGAGCTGAAGCCCGCTCCATCCTGGCTGTGGGCAT